GCAATCCTACATAGTTCCCTAATGACCTTGCTCTCGAAATTCCGACACTGGTCACTATGGAGCTTCTCCGGAAAGCTGTAGTGGACAATAAAGTTTTCAAACAAGGCTTTAGCTGTTGTTTGAGCAGTTTGGTTTCGACAGGGAATTGCATGAGCATATCGAGTGAAATGGTCAGTTATAACCAACACATTCTCGAAACCCCCCTTCGACCTTTCTAGGCTAAGAAAGTCGATGCAAACCAACTCCATGGGCCTTGTGGTCCTAATGGGAACCAATTCTGCCACTGGCTTCACAGGAGTCTTTCTCCTGATACATCTACCACATTGTTCTACTTTCCTATTAATAACCCCCTCCATACCAGGCCAATAAAATCTCTGTTTTGCCAACCATAGGGTTTTCTCCTTTCCTTGATGTCCAACATCATCGTGCACACCCCTCAATGCTTGAAGCTTATGAGCTTCTGGCAATACAAGTTGTCTCATCTTCTCACCATCTACAGTTGTGGTTCTGTACAAAACACCATGCTCAAGGGAAAGACGTTTTCGCTCCCGGAGGTACCTCCGCACCTCCGGCGACTCACCCATACCTCCCCTTGCACAAAAACCACCACTGCAGATGTCTACAACTCTAGCCAACACTGAATCATCCGCCTGCTCAGCCTCCAAATCCATGTTAGCAAGCTCACCACCATATACAGCTCTCTCCTCGGCCGTAGGAGTAACTGGATCAGTGGTGACACAATCAGACAATGGCACTGAAGCCATTACTGACTGACAGACTGCTTTAACCATGTCGGTAAACAACTGAGGCTGACGGGACAATCCATCCGCATCTGCATTTTGCCTTCCAGCTCTGTAGGTTATTGTAAAATCATAACCTGCTAGAGCGGCTACCCACCGATGACTTGTAGCATCGAGCTTTGCCTTGGTTAGCACATAAGTAAATGGGTTGTTGTCAGTAAAGACCTTGAAACTGGTTCCATACAAATAGTCGTGAAACTTATCAGTTACAGCCCACTTCAGAGCCAAAAACTCCAACTTATGTGCCGGTTAGTTTTTCTCGCTTGGTCTCATACCCAGGCTTGCATATGCAATGACCTTGCTGTTCCTGGTACAACACTGAACCAAGTCCAGAGCCACTAGCATCTGTGTGCACTATGAAGGGTAAGGAGTAGTCGGCATAGCCCAGTATTGGTGGGCTCAACAATTTCTCCTTCACAGTATCAAAGGCTACCTGCTGTTGGTTACCCAACACCCACAGTGCAGGATTTATCTTTTTAGCCTTAGTTTTGTTACTGGTTTTCAATGACCCATGCCCTCTCAATAAACTATTGAGTGGCTCTACAATCTTAGCATAGTCCTTGATAAACCTACGATAATAACCAACGATTCCCAGAAACTGTCTAGTCTCCTTAACATTCGTTGGTTTGGGCCAATCTACAACCGCTCTCAACTTCTAGGGATCTGTTCCAATCTCCTTATATGATACCACATGGCCCAGATAAGTTACAGAAGTCTTAAAGAAATCACATATGTTTTGCATCAACATGAGACCATGTTGCTCTAATCGAGAGAACACAGACACTATCCTCTTGATGTGTTCCTCAAAAGTCTGAGAAAAGATCAGAATATCGTCAATGAACACCAAGCATTCTCGCAAATGTAGTTCCCCCATACACTTTTCCATAAGTCTTTAGAAAGAAACATGTCTTTGACGTGTTGGCGCACCTCTTCATACATTCCAGGAGGTATCCTCCTGTAAGATTGCTTAAATGGTTTGCTCTCCTCCAACTCTATCTTATGTTTTACTATATTAGCCTTTCCTAAATCCAATGGTCCCCTAGAAAATACTCAATGTCAACCCACAATCACTGCTTTTGCCTCAACAGCCTGCTCTGAAGTTAAGTTTTCCTGCTCTATCTTAACACCTAACTCCTCAAAACAATCTGACCCAACCTTATAGTGTCCACCTATATCAGAGGCTAGATTATCCACTATCATTATATACTACACAGCCTGAATGACACATAATTCCCCTTTGGGTCTTAGTGTTATTAGTTTCGCTGTAATGTTACATATCTTAACTGGAACCCTTGCTACATTTGCATTCTGACTAAGTTTCACCACTCTAGGACAAACCACAAAACCTGCGCCCTCGGCTAAACCTTCAGTTACCACTTCACTCATGTGACCTCCTTAACCTCTGGCTAACCCGTCAACAACTGCAGATTCGTATGGAGCAATATGTATTGCCTTCTTGGATAAATACCTTACTGTTGCAGTATTACAGGTAATACTTTCTATAGCCATCTGCCATGCTTCTGGTATAACTAAGCTAGTCTCATCCATGGTTAAACAGTCCCTGCACTGCCTAATAACATTTGTCCCCACTATAAGTGGACAGTGTCCATTGTACTGAGTATCAGGTACTACTAACACTGGAACTAGTATTTCCACATTAGACAAACATGGCACAGCTGCAACACATTCAATGTAACCCATATATCCTAGACTAGAACCATCTGCAACTGATACCTCGAAGCCTAAGTCATCTAAAGTCAATAACTTTGGTTTATCCTCTAAACTAATGTATCCAGACTCTGATATGGTTGTCACCATAGATCCACTATCTACTAACGCCTTCATCTCACAGTTATTGATACTCGCTATGCTTTCACTATAATACAGCAAATCTGTAAATACTGTTAATCTGCAAATCTGTTTCCACTGCTTCGGTCTTCCTTTCTGTACTGTACAGGCTGTTAATACTAAATATACTGTACTGTACCTATAATAATCAAAAATATTAGTACAGTTAGTATACAAATCAGTTATTCCACAACAAAATTAATAAGATATATGTGAAGTTAATAAACTATATATTGAACACAGAATTACACATATATATTCACATTTAACATATATTCACATTTAACATATATTCACATCTGTCTAGTCAACAATTTCCTGTCAGCGTTCTGTCACAAATGTCAATGCTGGAAAAAAAATGTGAGTGCGGGGAAGAATAGATAGATATTTTTCACAATACAACCCTACATTTTAAGTTATAACGATGCGGTGTCTATCGTAGCCTTGGCGATTAATATGTATATATCAACAACTTAACGTAGTTCGGACTCACGACACTAACTATACATGGTATACACGTTACCTCCTTCCGCGCGTCACGAACACATACAATACAATCAAAATCGTTACGGCGTCAACAAGTCGTGTTCAAAAAGAACACGCCTACAAACCGAACGGTTGTTTCAGCGTGTCACTCACTGTATCTGGCTCGTCGATTGGTCGATAGAACGTTTGAGGTCGGTGTCGCCTTGTTTTCAGAAGCAGTGTACTGTGTTCTACATTTTGAACTTACTGGATAACATCTCATATATAAATGCTGTATATTATGAAGTGAACGTACACAGAAGTAAATTGTACTATGTAAGCACCGAAAAGTATATTATACAGTGTACATACAAGATAGTAAATTGTATAGTGCATGTACATAAAAGTAAATTGTACAGTAAACGTAAAATAGAACGCATTTTTAGTTCACCTGAGACAAAGTCTCAAGTGACATATTGCAATCGCCTTTTGTCCGTCGTGCGTCCGTAAACAATTTACATTTTCGACTTCTCCAAAACCCCTGAACCAATTTCAATGAAATTTTGCAGAAACCTTCCATGGCCAAAAGTCAACCAAAATTGTGAATCAGATGGTCAAATTGACTGAAATTTCAAAAATCTTCTTCTCAAGATCCAGATATGGTAAAATGTAAATACTCTTCATAGATGAAAAGGTCTTAAGGTGTTTTACCATAATTGTGAATTTCATGACCCTGTGGTCTCACTTTTACCCCTGGGGAGGGGGTAAACTTTACTATAGTTTATTTAGGGAAATCACATTTTGGACCAACATTTGTTTAATTTCCATGGGAAGTAATTCAATTTGGGTTAGCATTATCAGTATTGGATAGCAGTTTGAAAGTATGCACATATCAGCCATGACTGACCCCCAGGGGCTGATGGGTGGGTCCAAAAAGGGTGAAATTTCAAAAATCTTCTCCTCAAGACCCAGATATGGTAGAATCAAATACTCTTCATAGATGGAATGGTCTAAAGGTGCTTTACCATATTTGTGAATTTCATGACCCTGGGGTCTCACGTTTCCCCCTGGAGAGGGATACACTTTACTATAGTTTATATAGGGAAATCACATTTTGGACCAACATTTGTTTAATTTCCATTGGAAGTAATTCAATTTGGGTTAGCATTATCAGTATTGGATAGCAGTTTGATGGTATGCACATACCAGCCCTGACTGACCCCCAGGGGCTAATAGTAGGGCCAAAAAGGGTCGAATTGACTGAAATTTCAAAAATATTCTCCTCAAGACCGAGATACGGTAGAATCAAATACTCTTCATAGATGGAAGGTTCTTAAGGTGCTTACCTAAAATTGTGCATTTCATGACCCCGGGGTCTCACGTTTCCCCCTGAATTGACTTAAATTATGATGGTTTTTAATGGCAAATGATACTTTGAATATTACATGTTGATAACTTGATTGGAATTATAACACTGAGTTGACAGTTTGATACTTTGAAAATTTTGTGTCAGCCCTACCCCCAAGGGCTGTAGAACGGGGCCCAAAGGAGTCAATGTGCTAAAGTTCCTTGTTTAGCTTCAAAGGTGCTAGTTTCAAATTCTTTTCAATCTTAAATCTGTATGCTAGATATTGAATAAGGTGGTCTATTGTTTTTTGTCGCTTTGAATAATATTTCTGTTCATGTTTTAAAAACAAAAATCAACTCTCTGTATAAATATATCAGAACTCAGGTGACCGTTAAGGCCCATGGGCCTCTTGTCAATGTTGCCCTTATACGCCACTGAATCGAACAACAAAAAGTAATGTTTAAAATATATTCATGCGATATCAATCAATCCTTGTGTAAGCAAAAGAAGTGCTTAAAATGCAAATCGTGAGTACGAACCATTTCTCGGTATCCTTTAAGTACAGGAGGAAAAAAATCCATATAACTGTCGTTACTGCAACACATATCAGTATTCTTCTAAAATAAACTGATTTATGAACAGACATGTTATAAACACACTTCCCTTCTTCTTGGAATGTTCACCTGTAATGATGTTAAGTCTGACCAGGTATTTGCACTACTTTGCGTATTGATACCGCAGAGGCTCACATCCGCGATTACATAATCTCAATTTGCATACTGCTTAATATAGTTCTGTCGAGAATACAGAATGAACCCAGGTTACGAGGTAATCTTTAATATGTCAAGAATAGAGGTTGTCCTTGGAGAAACAGTAAGCCCCTGACTAGTTTTTATTTGCGTGTAAACAAAGTGGCTCCGGCGGTGTCACGAATTTAAAGGGACATCACTCGAAAAGCCATATTATCATATAGAAGACAAACACAGTGAAATGAAGTTAATGTAAATTTATTATTTTCTAGAAATTGGCTAGTATTGACCATGGCTTCAACAGCTAGAATTAAAAGGAAACTGGGAACAGAAAATTCCAATAATAAAAGCTGTTTGGTATATTCAAAATCAAATTGAGAGAGACCGCATTCTGTTGTCCTAAGTGAAACCCTGCCCTGCATTAGGACTAGGTAGATGAAGCCATGACGAAGCGAGAACGGGTTGTCATAGTCTCCGACTGAAACATATAATAAGAAAAACAACAGCAGAAACTGGAAACCAAACTTGACAGGATCAAAAATAAATGTGATGGGATGGGAAGGGTGGGATTTGGAAAAGTAAACTGTAAATTATGAACAATCTAATCCTTTGCTTTAAATGTATGGCTACTAGTTCCTATCTCCAAAGCTGAAGATTTCTCAAGGAGCAAAGTAGACGAAAAGGTCCAAGGGAGGTAACTCCTATACAAATTCTGAGACTTTCGACTAGAATAACGGTCCTCATAAGATAACCGGAATTAATTTGATATGATTAATTCCCA